CTACCATTCGTCCGTACATTCAATATTGCTGCTATATCTGGTCTGGTGCTGTAACACCCTTCATTGTTGCCTACACCCAGTCGTCTAAACACATTTAGTAGTCCAGTCCTCAGGATCTTAGACTGACATTTTAATGACAGGGCCAACTCTGCACTGATCAATGCTGATACTGGTCCAAGCTGGTTATTGGTCAGTGGCTACTTTGATCCACACCAACTCTGCCCGCACTGTGTACTTAATCTCAGAGCAGTGGGAAATCAAAGGTCGTAGTCTCACAGCACTGGTTCAAGCCATGTCAGGTGCTACATTAAGGAAAAAAATCTTCACAACAAAAAATAAAATGAGAGATTCATGGGCGTAATCTTAAAATTGGTTAATATAGCTCTTAATACAACAAAATTAAGCCTTCCCACATCAATCTCTTTAGTGACACTGGGCCTTGTCTAAACTTCTGGAGGCCTGGGTTTGAAGTCATGGAATCAGGAATCAATGCAAGATCTCAGCCCAAAGTCTCAGTGCTCCCTAAAGTCATCTGCTTATATTCACTTCAGCCCAAAACTGGTGAGTGGCTGAAAGGTTCTGGGGATTCAGTGATTCCTCAGTTTTCATTAATTACCAATAAAGGTTGTCTGTTCCCTATTTATGCTTTCCAAAGAATTATCAACCTTCCTTGGGAGTGGTCACACAGATTGCTCTTCCCTTAATTCCAAGCTGCTTTACTTCACATCTCACACTGTACTCCACACAGGTGGGGCTAAATTCTGCCCCTTCCTCCTAAGTATTCTAACTCTGCCCAATTCTCAGAGCTGGCATAATTGTCTTTGTGACAAATCTAATTTTTAAAGTGCATAGGAGAAAAGGTGTGGTTTATTCTCCTCATTAATTTAATTTCTCTGATTCTTTTTCTGTACCCACTTGTCCAGTGAAAAAAAAAGACAAATCAGATCACCTTCTCATTTTAACCTTCTGAGCGATAAATAAAAATTATTTCCCAATTTGTTTTTGTCAATGAAAAAATATTTGTTTACCTAAATTCTCAACAAAGAGATACGCTGTTTTCTATCCATGGGCTGGTCGCTGTCTTACCAAAAACTTAAGCCAGATCACCTGCCTGTTATGAAGAATCAATCATAATCTTAACCTGTGCAGCAGGTTCATTCTGTTTTCATTTCTCAATTTGTTTTTGCTAATGAAAACATAATTCTCATCTGCTACTCTTTCTGCCAAGGACATGTGTTTTTCTAATTTCCTAAGAAAGAGATAAAGCCATTTCCCAATTTGCTTTACACACATGCCAGATTTTCGATAGATAAAAAAAAAGGTAAACTCTTCAGGCATCATTCCAATTCATAGTGGGTGAGGCAACCTGATGGCCCTTTCTTCACTTCCACATTAACAGGGAAAATGTCTTCCATTTTCTTTTAGTTTTCTTTTTGGGTTTAACCTTTTTCTGCTTAAAATTAATATTTAACCACTTCACAACCTCAGTGTCACAGTGCTTGTACTATATATATCTCAAGATTCTTGACAAAATTCAAAGACATATCTGTAATGTAATCAATCCTGACCTGGCATCTCGACTTCAGTCACTTTCACATGTGGACCTACAATCTTCAAAAATTTAAATGCAAAGCCAACAGCCATCTTTTGTTTTCCCGAGTGGCAATAGCCTTGCTTGGAGTGAAATGATTAAAAAAAAAAATCTAGCCTGCATCTATAGCCAATTCAACAGTAAAATCCATGCAGTCGAGGTACCAAGGAGGAAAGCTCATCAGAACAGTTGCTATGAAAATATTTGTAGAAAAGACAGAGGGAAGCCACATCACTTTGGTGAGAAAGTGACTGATGTTGAGATACCAGGACAGGATCAATTACATCCTTCTTTGAATTTTGTCAAGAATCTTAAAATATATAGTAGGAGCACCAGACTAGATATATTTTTTTTTCTAATGTTCAACCAATACATGGCTCAAGAGTCACTCAAAGTATAGAGTTACTGTGCGTAGTTTTATTAATGTAAGAAAAGGCAAGAAGTGAAGTTCTCGGGTCGATGCAGGAAAGATAACAGCTAACTCTAGACTTGAAGACATTAAGATTTAATTAGTGAATAACATTGCAGAGTTCAGTCTGAGACATTAGAATTATAGAGTTGAAGTAGCCTTTAGAAGGAACTGGAAACACAATCTTGAATAGAAAACAAGGGATAAATCTGTACACCTGTTCAAAAAAATGGGGATGAGTATGATCAGTACGTTAGGCAAACCTATCTACACCTGGCATCAATAGTCAATGCTTGGGTGAATGGTAGATTTTTTTTTGCAAGATGGATTCTGACGAGAGAAATTATCTGGCATTACATAGTGAAACAACTTTCCTAGTAGCAGACCTAGCAATTTTAAGTATATTAAGAAATAGTGTTATATGTATATAGAGCAGTAATTGTTTTCTTTTTCGCCAGATTAACAATAAATTCAGACAATGCTCTAAATTAGTCTACATATGAGGAGCTCATGAAAAATTCTACATACGACAAACTTCCCACAAATCTGACCAAACATCAGACATCAATATTTTTTTTCTTATTTGGCAAACTTGAACGCACACACACACACACACAAAATGATGTGCCAAATGAAAGTTAACCTCATCATGGCATTTCAACAGTGGTTTTAGTTTTGAAAAAAACCTGGAAGGTACAAGGAGCCACATTTTGCCGATAAAAAAAAAAAAAAAAAACCTGACACGAATCTACTCATTCAGCCAACGTTAATACAACAGTCACACTCTGTACAAGCTTACTCAAAACAGCATTTGATTGCTGAATAAACCTACAGGAGAGAGTTTGGACATGCACAGTAAGGTCCCCTTTGATTGCTAGCCCAATCACATCAAGGCCACACAACCAGTTCTTGTGATATTCAAAATAGCTAGATAAATTCTGGACAGACTTTGTACTAATTTAGAAGTTATGAGTAAAGGATACATTTTGGTTCCCTCAGAGAGTTACTGAAAAATTATCAGCTCAACCATCTTCCCAAATACAGACTTTATATTAATTTTGAATGTATAGATAAATGGTACAAGGGTACATTTTTGTCTCATCCTATTGTGTGGAGGTGCTGAAAAATTCTCAGCCTGGCCCACTTTCCAAAATTTCATCAAATTACCAAACCATTTTTTTTGTTTGTTTGTTTTTTTTTTCTGGAAAGAGCTTCTTGGATGGTCTGTGAATCTTTAGACACCAATTTTTGGTGATTATTGTGTAAGAATGTAAAGGTCTATCACAGTCAAGGAAATAAAATATTACCAGAGTGTTCAAAAATAGAATATGACTAAGCACCAAACTGTGCCATTTTTGACCTACAATTGTGACCAAATATGGATATTGTGTATCAACAAAACCGGAAAGAAAGAGATTGTCAGTGGTTAAGAATTAAAGCAAAAATACCAAGAGAATGAGGCTATTATATGTGCAATATTGTTCAGATATACTTAAAAAATAATTCTATATTACAGTAAAAAGATTATAGAGGAGAAAAAATAAAATGCTATCTTCATATATAATACATATCTATAAAGATGCTTGAAAAATGTCAATAAATAAACCTTTACATACCAAAAGATAGGTAAGCAACTGATGGTCATCATAAACAAGGTCAAACTTGACCACATATGACTGGATACTTGTACTGGTCAACAAGTGCTTTGAGGACAGGTCAACAAAAAATATCTCACCTAACTGAAATATGAAAACAAAAAGAGTTCATCAAATTTCAAAACATAAGTATATTTGTATGTAATGAAGTTATTGGTTATCAATTTTTGGTGTTAGAAAAGTTACAATATAAAAAATATACATTTAATTATATAATTAATCTAGACCACCCATAAACCCATTGAGTTCCTTTTAAAAGCAGTTCATGATACAAGATGATGAGATAACATAAATTTTATTATTAATTACACATAATTTGCAATTACAATACAAGTTATTGTAATTATTATTATTCACATTATACAATATTACTTAGATACAACACAATCAGAAATGAATAATGATTATGTAAAATCTGTAACAGTGGCAAATCAGCATGCATCTATTTATTTATTTGTCATGTGACACAATTTTCCAGCCATACAGATTACATTTTACAATGACCCACCCACATAGCCTTTTCACCTATCAAGTACTTGCCAAACGTTTGTAAAAAAAAATTCTAATGTATGTAGGGAATTGTATAAATATATGCTGTGTTATATTTAAAATTTATTCATAAATATATGTTGTGCTATATTTAAAATTCATTTATAAATATATGCTGTGTTATAAATTTATTTCATAATGTTGTTATAATGTATTATGAATGTTTATTAATTTTCATACACATAATATAATATGCAAGTGTTTGTTTATATATGCAGATCAATATCAGTCAGTTATGTGCCATGCATGATACATGCTTAGGCAATCATGTATCTTTCGATACATGACTGACAAGGCAGACTTTTCCCCGCCACAGTAGTTTGCCATTTCTTTCTGCGGTAGACCAGTTGCCATCCAAGGCTATACAACATGGTCTGTCCTGCTATTTACCCACAGCTGTGGGGAGAAGAGGATTCATACTTTTGCCAAGGGTATTAGCATGTAAGTGGAATTCGAACTCAGCCTTCCAATTGCTCAATCCGAACTGCTATCCACTACTCCACTGTGCCTCAAGCAGATTGATATAAGAATGAGTATCAAAAACAAATACTGAATTTACTATTAAAAATGCTGTTAAAAAAAAAAAAAAAAGGCATATCTCAAGAACCCCTTGTCTGATTTTAATGAAATTTGGCACTTCACTCAGTGGGGGTTAAAGGTACATGCTTGGTTGGCATATTATGTATTGTTTAAGCTGTACCTCAGGACTATACATACAGATATGATTAGAATTTTAGTATTTAATATAGATTCATAGTTTAAATTACAGCTGGATTACCATCATTGATTTAATTTGAAAATCAAAAAGTGTTATACTAATCAAATGATGGAAGAGAATATCCTATTAAAATTGTGCTTGTCCTTCTCTTCATTATTAGCACAACCGTTATGCCCTGCCAATACGTCATAAATAATGGACTATTCCATTTTGATCACATGGAAATTGGGAGAAAGACACTACTTGGTTTCAGTGAGGAAATGAAAGAAAGAAAGAAATTGAGAGAGAGAATCACATTAAGATAATAAGAACACATACTATATTTTGATCATAGCAGAGAAGCAATTGTATTTTCTTGCTGCCCGACACTGACAGGATTTGACACAAGGTTAGTTTAATGTGGGGAGCCAGTGTGTGTGTGTGCACCTGAGCCAAGTCCAAAAGTTGTCCAGGCCCCACAACCTTCAGTTGCATTGACATAGGTCTTACTACCCCTGTTTAGTGCAATGAGGGAGGTATTACCACAAGCAACAGTTTCCCAAGACTGGGCACCACTCAATAATATTTTCACTTGAGCTCTGTCTGCAGACAGAGATACAACTGAGAGATGAAATGTTTATCTGCCCGAGAACAGAGACTACACTTTGATCCAAGGACAAGAACTGATGGCTACTGCAATAAATGTGCCATTTTTTTCAGATGCACTGAATCAAACAATGGAAACCAAGTAAGATAACTACCATAAATCCAGTTATCATAAATAGAATAACATCATCTGCTGATTTATTTTAAAATTATTAAGAGAAATGTTCATAAGATATAGATTTGGTTAGTTAATTTAAATTTATAACCTGAATTTTGAGAGGTGCTTGAATATGGTTGCTTTTACAGTGATTCCAAATCATTGCTTTACTGGATTGTTTAATTATAATTTACTCGTTCAGTAGCTGTTGTTTCAACAAGATGATCAGATTTCAAATCTAAATCATTTGTCCATTTAAAATACTACATTTATTAGAAGATATATTCAGCTTAAATACAGAAGGCATAAAAATGATGTTAAAGGGTTACAAATTTCAGCTTATATTCTTTTCCTGTTATCCAGGGGTTGTTGCCAGACAGAAAGGAAAATTAGCCTGCAACATCAATACATATGGTAAATTACTAATAAATAGGTGAACAAGAATTATAATATGATAAAACAAAAACAATAAAAAAAACTTATGGATGAAATAGTTAATATTTTTTTTCACCAAAATATTCCTTTCAAAAATTATAGATACATCTTATATGGCAGGAACTATAGCAATTTTTTCATCATAACTCAAAATGTGACACAAAGGATTTATTACATTTGCTGGATATTTTTTTTTTTTTTGTCAATTCACCCCAAACAAGATGATAATGGCAATAAAACGCTACTGGAAGTGAAAGAGAACATGAGAAGCCTTTAAAAGGAACCAGAAACCCAATCCTAAATAGGAAACAAGAGATAAACCTCTACATCTGTTCAAAAGACTAGGGAGGTGTGTGAACTGGATGATAAAGGGTTATATAATCAAAGAAATGTTGAACTGAACAACAGTCAATTGCTATCTCAAACTTAAGATATCTTGAAAAATTTCTCTACAGAATAAATACAAGAAAATGTTAGTGTATACAGTTATTCTATACATGTTTCAGGCATCATTAACAGCAATCGATTTGTGCAAAATTATAGAATCCAACATCAACTTACAGTTGTGCCAATAATAGCAACTTCAATCCCAGTGAATGTGTGCCACCAGCATAGTGCTGAAGGAAAACCTGTTAAAAAACAAAAAAAATACAAACTAAAGTCAACATATACATTTTAAATGCTCATTAGTCAAGTCAAAGGTAAATCATTATCTTTCCTTCTTATTCTAATAACCTTTAATTCCTACTGCCTCCTCTTTCAATCCTATCACACACCTAATTCATCATTTAACATTTTAGCAGTAATCCCTCTACCTTAAGTGGCTCTTGAACCTCATATTGGGTGAAATTTATTATAAAAAAAAAAATGTATACTTTAAACCTTGTTCTGCCATCTATTTACTCAAGCTCACTAGGTTATTTTTTTTTTTTTTTAAGAATTTCACCCCAAGCAAGCCGGGAAGCCACTAGGACACAAGAGTTACAGAAAGTTTAGAAACAAGATCAGATGGGAGTGATAGAAGAAAGGATGAGGGTAGTGGATAGATCAAGGCAACTGGAGATGTCGATTGACATTACACTGAATAGCTAGAGATTATAGCTCACAGGGAAACAAGAATAGGGAAGGGAGTTCCACAGGCAAGGGGTGCAAGACATAAAGCTATTAGAGTAGAAGAAACGGCTACATTTAGGAGTTTCGACAGTGAAGGGGTGAGAGCGGGATGCCAGCCTCGTAAGGTGCTGAAACTCATGACGTCTGGGAACCAGCGAATGCAGCTCCTCGGAGCAATTTCCATGAAAGTATTTGTAGAACAGACAGAGGGAGGCGGACGGTTGCATCTGTGAGAGAAAGTGACTGTAGACGAGAAGCCAGGGCAGGGCCAACTACAAGTTATGCATGGTTTTCCTCTGTCTCTCTTGTCTTCAATCCATCCTGTGAGTATGTAATTTTCCAAGTCCTCTTTTCTCATTATGTGCCTGAGAAATTCCAACTGTACTCTTTCTGATAAGTGTCCTTTTTGTTTCAATTTTCTCTAAAACTTTGTTGCTGCTTATATATTCAGTTCATGGTATTCTCAGCATTCTGCTGTAGAAACATTTCTATTGTTTCAAGTCTCTTCATCTTTGAGGAGACTGTCCAGCATTCACTGTCATATTGGAGGACCAATATCACATAACAGTTTAGTACTCCTTTCTTTGTTTCTAACAAAGTTTTTCTGTTTCTTAATACTTTGCTTAGCTTTTGGAATGTTTCTTGGACTAGCTCACTGTGTCTTCGGATTTCAGTGTCACACTTTCCATCCTCTGTTAAAACACTTCCCAGATATCTAAATTTTTGTACTGGTTTGATTTTGGTATCTCTAATTTGTAATTTACATTTTGAGATCATCCTTTTGCTAACAATTTGTTTTAAAGAATTTTTATCAAATTTTAAAAGATTAATTTAGACGTCAAAACAAAGCTTGGCTTAAACATGTTTTACACAAGTTATTCAATTTATTATAAAAACTGCAATCTGAAGTTATGCAGATTAAACTAATATTAGTTTAAGGCCTCTAAAATCTAATAAAAAGTATTTTTTTTCTTTTTTTCCATATGTTGAAACACTGATAATGGAACAGATCTAGGAAATGCTGAAAAACAGAAAATGAGTGAGAGAATGTCCACAATGGATATATTAAAGCAGATTAACATAGATTATTGAACTATAAAGAGGGATATTGAAAATATAACTGAGTTGAGAACGAGAAGCAAAGGAAAAGACTTTAAGAATTTAGTTCTTTTATACAACACATCCTTTCTGAACATTGTATTATGTTTTGGCAATTTCAATAAGTTTCTTTACATCAAACAACTTATTCAACATCTAGAGAAACATGTTAAAAGCTTAATAGGTATTCCCTGTTCATTTGATTAAATAGAATAACAGATTTGTAAAAACAAAGTGTTAAACTAATTCTGGGTTCTTCCCATCATTATTAAACCAATGGATTATCAAGTGAAAAATAAGAAGTCATATGCAGTGAAGGTCAAAATGGGTGGAATTTATTAAGTGTATGCAATAAAATTCAAAATGTACCTTTAGCTTTTTTAAACTTTATGTGCGTTGCATCATCAACTTTCCACAACTGATTTACCTTCGACTCTGGATCCTAAAAAGCAAAGATTAAATTATCCATAATTAACCATTTAATAGCAATCAAAATTACTACCTTACATCATTTGCATTTCAATATCACTGTTTCCACTTCAAGATTTCACTATTTACAAAAACAAAGAATTCAAATTTTCTGAATCATTTAAAATTTATTCAGTTGAAAACTGATAGACTATAAAGTAAAAACTTAATTTTATGCAATACATATTGTCTACAGTTTCTATCCTGTAGATAATTTTTTATAGACTATTTGCACTATATATATATATATAAAAACTCAAGTACAGGATTGGTATATACAGAATAAATTCCAATAACCAAAAAATACTATTCTTAAAAGAGTGCTCAATACAGAGTAAAGCAAATATAATTTATTCGAAAATTATAACATAAATATGTTATAAAATCACTACAAAAATAACCATTTTGTTTCAACACTTCTGGTGTCTTATCAAGTGATAGTGTTGAATGTAGAATAAACAGTTTTAAAAGGTTCAGATCAACCAAACACCCTTCAATAGGGGAAACGCTGTTACATAGTGATTTTATAACATATTTATTTTATAATTTTCTAATATATTTTATCACTTTAACCTTATTTTAGTGGATACCTATGCTTGAGTAGATGCTGTGTTTATTTATTAAACAGTACATTTAATTATTTTAGTCTGCCAGCCTAAATATTTGCATATTTTTCTTTAATAAGATTTCTCAAACATTCAGGCCAGTAGACAAAAGTAAATAAACATACTGTTTAATAAATAAATGGAACATCTACTTGAATATGGGTATCCACTAAAACAACATTTAGAGTGATAAAATTTGTTGGATTTATAAACAAAAAATCTATTACTTCTTTAGAAATGTATGAATAAGAGAATATTTTAATCAAATTGACTGATGATGTTTATTTACATATTTTATTGCATTTTTCCAGTTTGCATATAAGCTGCCATTCAAATGTTGTTAAGTTATGTAAAAAGGATGAGTAGGTAATTTCTAGGTTTCATGTCCAATAAAATTCATAATGAAACAAATTAAAACTGTCTTACGATTTCAAGAAAGCTACTCACCATAAGAGCCAAAGCTGGGACAATAAACATGTCCAATTGTGTTGTGATTACCAACAGCCATGTGGCTGATGGGTCAAAACAACTTGCGACAATTGGTCGGTCTTCAAGCCATGGCAGTAATTTCATTTCTGAACGCTGACCATGGACACTCCAACGAATCAGAACATGACCTGCAATTAAAGAGATAATTTTTATGCAGTTTGTGAAAAAAAAATGCTAAAAAACTTCAGTTTGAATTTCTGCAATGAGGGATTATCACTTTTATACATTTGTAACCTTATTGTTGTCATGTCAAAATAAAAATAAGCTACTAAATCTTTCATACATAAAATTGTGAACTTTGTTAATAAATATCAGTGTGAAGGTGTATAGTTTAGTGAACTTTCTTCAATGAGTGGGACATTTATATAACTTCCTGTCATCCAGTTATCTAGTGGGTTAACATCCTCGGGTCAGTTGGGATGATCTCAATACAGTGGGGGCAGCCATTGCCATCCCTTGAGGCCCAATTATGCATCTGGTGGCTATGAGATTACCTTCCAAGTCAACTTTCTGATGCACCTGGTTCTTTTGATGCTCTTGTCTGGCACAGAGTGCAAAGCAGTACTGAAAAAAATGGTGATGTACATTGACACACAGTGCACTTGCATTGCATGATGTATTTGTAAGAAAAAAAAAAAATGAAAAAAACAACATGACTCTCCACTGGAACGAGGTCAGCAAACATAATTCCTAGCCAACTAGCCAAAAATCTTGACTAAACAGCATTACTATTGAGTGAAATTTATGAAATCATTTTCTTTTCAGAAAATTGAACTTCTTAAGTCCACTAAATATTATAGAACCTAATGCTAACAGGAGTTTCTTTCCAAATCTTTTGTTTAAAGGTAACAGCTTAACAACTCAATCATTTTCTCTTCTAGTTAAATGTGCTATCCATTTTCATTGTTACTGCTGTTGGAAGTGTTCAGGTAATGTGGTTTTGTTATTTTGTAAAGCTCTTTGTGATTTTATTATATCAGTCTATAGGCTCTCACTCAAAGCCCTTCAGAGTCAGTTTATTATTACTGTTACAGCAGTTTTTAAAGTAGTCTACTCAACCCAACCCACTAGGTTTTCTGTTTGGTCAGGAGTGAAATCGATTTGCATATATAACTAAATATCGACTCTCACTGTCTGTGGCCAAAATCTCACTGTTTGCATGACTTTCTACATTATTTACAATGATGTTCCCTATATTACGGCAGGTTACTGCAGGTCAAACATTGAAATCTGACATTTACGGAGCGGGTTGAATGCTGAAGGGTTAAAGAAGTCTATTCAACTTGAAGATGTTTGCATCTCACTTGACTAGGAGTGAAACGGATTTATGTTTGCAGATCTCATTTCAGTGGAGAGGCTTCTTTTTCCTTTTACAAAAACATTCCTTAAGATCTAAAGGATTCATTCATATGAAGCCATTTCTAATTATTGATCTGAGAAGACTGTAGGGTAGACTAGGCTCACTAGCTTCCAGTCGATGACATCCAGTGTAGGAGAAAGATTACTCTAAATTCAAAACTAATGAGAAGAGAACAGGAAACCACTCCACCATGCTCCCCAAGAAGTCATGGAAATGAAAACACAATAAATAAAAGGAATCTCTAGAAAACTATGATTGCCTACATTCTAAAGTGCCATAGCATTAAAAAAAAAAAAAAAAAAAAAAAAAAAAAAAAAAGAAGTAAAAACAAAGCGAGAAAGAACCTTAACTCCCTTTAGATCAATGTTGAACTACTGAGCTCTGCTTAAAGATTGCTGGCATTCAGGCAAGCTGAATTTCAGTGCCCTTCCAATTATAACATTTTAAAATTCTTACATGGAAAAAAACTGAAAAGGTAGAATAACAAATTTATATACAACTTAAAGATAACATTCATTATCCTATCTAAAACATTTTTTTCTAGCCTTTAAATCTGCAAATCTTTTCAAGGCAATTTTTACACATAGATCATTTTCTATTGACAAAATAGCTAAAGAAGTTAATCAGTCTTGAGTCATGGATGACTGCAAATGTGTTTTTATAGGCTTTAGTTTTAGAAAATCCTAAACTCATGATATGGGAGCTTGATAGTGCCCCAGGCGACTGCCTGAGTTGCCAATACCTTGAACCAACACGGCTTTGCTTGTAAGTATGCTTTATAGATGAAATAGTGATATATTGTCCCTATATGTCACAGGTTGATGTTTAAACCAGCATTTAAAATTAGGATTTTCTAGAGACAGGTTCTTTGAATTTGTAAAATTGATATAACACAAGCTTTCTTGTTTCATTCCTTCATTTATTTGAGTTTGTGCCATAGTCATTGTATTTTCTTGTGTAATATATGAGAAATTTTAAACAAAAATTAAAAGCAAAAAAAAAAGGGGGGGTGTATTATAAACAAGTACACATTTTCAGAAACATTTAACCAAAGCTTAAAAAAAAAAAAAAAAAAAAATCTCTTATTTGAAACAGCAAGATTGCAAATACAATCAACAAGCACATTAAATAATAAAACAGAAAGTAGACAGACATTGATAACAATTGTTTACAAAAGGTATTTGATATTTTAGCAATATTCGTTCTTTGAGAACCAGCCTAATTGAATGTCTTGTCTCCAAAACAGAAAATTTACCAAAATTGATTAAAAAAAAATTTAATAAAAGGGAATACACAAGATCTGTCATGATTTGATAACATTAATGTTACAACAATGCAGCTTCAAAAATGAAATGGAAATCAGGAGAAGAAACACACAATAACAAAATATCCGGTTCATTTCTATTATTTAATATCATGAAAAATGACGTCGCTGAGATTTTAATGAATAATAATGTACAACACCCTCCGCCACCCCAACCCCCAAATTACATGGGGGTAACTGTACTACAGGGTTGTATTATACTCAAGGATGTAATTTATTCCCTGTTTTTAGCTTCAGAAGCACATGGTCGTATTATACTCAAGTCGTATTAAGCAGAAGAAAACACAAAACATCTGGTTCATTTCTATTCTTGAATAACATGAAAAATGACAACACTGAGAATTTAATAAATATGGTACAACTAAAAAAAAAAAAAAAAAAAAAAAAAATTTACATAGGGATGGCTTTAACACAAGGCCGTATCACACTAAAGTCATATTATACACAAGAATATTGCTGTATGTAGTTAGAGATACACAAGAATACTTGTTCACTAACAAAACTGATAAATGCAGAGCATTCATTAGATTTCATACTTTGACCTAAAAAAGCACATGATTTATCTGTACAATAAAACTGATCTCATGACTGAGCAATGAAAACAAAGCAAAGAATTTGGGATAAGAAAGAAAATACAAAGAGCTTTTACCCAAAGCTTTTACTCGAGGCAGATAACAATTATAATAAAGGCTTCATGTAATTCATTTCTTTTCATAATGATGATATGCTAATACAAAGAAAAGATTTATATTTCACAAGGAATTTATTGAACTTTATCTAAAAGTTTTGACATGAATTCTGACATTATACATGTATGTACAGACAAGAACAAATGGATTTTATTTACCACTTACTCATTGTCAATATAATAAGAACTGTTCTTTACCATTTCTCTGTAATTTCTAAAATAACTGATGAAACAGAAAGTCAAAGATAAGTCTTAGTTTTTGCTTCGAACTGTAAAAAAATTTCGGTCCTCTTTTTGGATCTGAATTTCCAGACAATAATGTCCACATAATGGAAATATTGCAGTAAAATGTTACAATAACATTTCTTGACCTTAACAAAAGTCAATAAACTAGTTCTTAAAATTCTATTAATGTGAATTTAAGATGAAATGCCAAAGCAAATCATTTTGAACATATAAAGAAAGAAAGAAAAATCTATAACTCAACAAATTTTGATTCATACATATTTGTAAAAATTTATTCAGTACTACTAATTTTATGCACCATATCCCTACAAACTTTGGTAATCATTCCTATTCTTTGTAACTCTAAATAATGTTTGTCCCCTTACCCTGCAGTTCATGTTCTGCCATCCATTGAATCAATAGCTTCATCTACCACAAGGAAAGTTGGTTCTCTGTGTCATGCCAGGTTTTTCAAATCTACCATTTATCCATGCATTGAATACTATTGCCATATATGGTCTGGTGCCCCTGCTGTTCATATCAATGTTCTCAACAAAATCCAAAGATGGATCTACAATGTGATCGATCCTGACTTGGCATCTCGACTCCAGTCACTTTCCCCACTGACATGATGTGGCTTCCCAGTCTTTTCTACAAATATTTTCATAGCAACTGCTGTGACCAGCTATTTTTACTGGTGTCCAGACTGCATGAATTTAAGCATGCTACTAAGCTGGCATCTAGGTCCCACCCTTTTACTGTTGAAACAGTTAAATGCAACTGCCTCTTCTACGCTAACATCTTCTCTCACACTTCCCAACAGTGGAACTCCCTTTCTCTTACTTGCTTCCCTTATAACTACAATCTTCAAAAAATTAAATATAACGTCAATCATCATCATCATCTGATGCCTTGAACCCTTTTTATCCTTTCCTCAATCCCCCCTATACCTAGTCTTTTCTCTTACTTACTCACTCTGTTACTCCTTGTGTTCTAGTGGCACTCTCACCTTGCTTGGGGTGAAATGATAATCACAAAAGCTTGTTAGATTACTTGCCATTTCCGTCTTGCCTTCAATATGTCCTGTGAGTGTCAAATTCTCTAAGTCCTCTTTCCTCATAACATGTTCAAAAATATGGACCTTACGCCCTTATCTGCAGCTGGATTTAGTATTTATATATCTCCACCATGAAATCATCTCAAGTCAACCCTGGTTTTCTTGATGGTCCGTTATGGGAGTGAGGGCAAAGCCTATTCTGGCATGATCTAGGGTGAATCATATAAAAACACAAATACTTGTGAAGGTTATTCAGTACAAATTTACTTATCAAATTTGAACGAGTATCTTCATCCTTATTGTTATCACCCTAAGATTTCAGCCATGACATCCAGCAGACATCTTCAGGTATTTATTACAGCTGGGAACCTCCTGGGAATTTTGGAGCATCAAGATTAATGCTGTTTGTCTGCCTATTCAATCAAACTAGAATAGGATTATTGGGGGGATGTCGAAATACATTTTTAATACTCA